AAGCGCGATGAGTGATATCAAGCGCGATGAGTTGCATTCCCATTCACATTTACTAGAACTTGAAAATTCTCCTCTGAACACATCATTTGTGAAGATATACGAGAGGAGTGTCTTTGTGAAGCATATGAAGCAAACGCTGACATTTCTGAACCAACGCCATGCAGCCGGATTGATCGGTTCACCCACCGAACCAAGAATTCTCAACGACGATCGATCGCAACAGCGCACATACTGATCGCCGAATGCCATCAGCGCTCTGACTGCAGTTGGTGCCGTATAGAGTGTTGTCACCTGCAAAACATTCCGTCAATTTGAGACGTCGTCAATCCAACCGAATTGTTAGCAATTTTCAACAAATTTCTGATCTTTAAACACCGACTGAGATTACTCGTAATCAAAAGAACTGGTAGAAGGAATGCTGCTGAGCGCAGATAGCTGAACCAACCTTATATTTCTCGACCACTTGCCACATTCGTGATGGGGTTGGATAGGTGGGAATACCCTCGAAAATAATCGATGTTAAACCGTTCGTTAATGGACCGTATACCAAATATGAATGGCCCGTGATCCATCCACAATCTGCTGTACACCTTGAATCACATCAATCGTTACTTTGCTTGATGTCATAAACGCTATGAAATATGTCTCGGAACAGAAGTGATGAGCGAAACGCACCAATAAATGTCACTGTCAGGATGAGTATCAAAGACGTATTTAGTTGTAGCGTAAGCGTAAGTCATATAACCAGCCGTTGTGTGCACCACACCCTTTGGTTTGCCGGTTGATCCCGAGGTATACAGAATGAACAGAGGATCTTCAGCTTCATTCCACTCAACCGGCGACTCAACACCCTTACAACGCTCCATCTCCTCATCATAAAACACATCTCTACTCTCGTCGTACTCAATTTTCGGAATGTTTACACCGTTTGCGCGATGCACACGATCCAAATGACGTACAACAATCACTTTATCCACTTCACTACCCTAAAAATACTTTGTCAATGCTAAAAACTAAAACCAATCACTCATTAATCAATAAGAAATAAGAATAATAATACTAATATCAATATCACTAAGACGATCCAGTGATAATCTAAACAACTTGAAGTGCTGATGAATAAAAAGTGACCTCTTTGGAACACGCTGCAACGGCAGCATTGGCAATGTGCTTGATGGGAATGAGTTTCTTGCCGCGGAAGAAAGCATCGCAGGTGATGAGAAGACGAGAATTGGCGTGGATGAGACGAGACGATAGCGAGTCGGCACTGAAGCCGGCGAATACAACCGAGTGAACGGCACCGATGCGGGCACACGCCAACATCGCGATCGGCAACTCGACAATCATCGGCAGATAGATTCCAACCACATCGCCCTTCAAGCACTCATCATAACACCATTCTGTCTTCTGTTTGTCGCATCATCAAAATTCATCACTACGCGATTCAGAGAGGTATTTCACTATTAAAGGCACATCAGAACTTATACAACAAATCTCATTGAATGGCATCTGGCAAAGCAGATTAACTGGAATATCACTTGTGGATTCAACAATAAGGCATTTGCAAAGCAACAAGCCAACCTTGCGAACACCATGAGATCGAAGAACGGCCGAAAATGTGATAACACGATCAAGTAGCTCTTGATAGGTTATCGATGAGCTATCAGACGGCTCATTGCCCTCCCACAAGTATGCAATTCGAGAGCCATATCCTGAGAAAAAACTCAATTTTGTTATTGTCTCTTCACTTTATGCAGTTTGGGATAATCTCATCCGCCAATCGACTTCAAGTCACTAATCATCACCATTTCATCAAGATTCTTTGTCTGAACATCGAACGAGACACATTCAATCTGTCTGAGTATCAATTCTTACCTCGTGCAATGTTACGTTCCAAGCAATTGTACGCGACATTGGTACGAGCACCGTCCATGAAACGTACAAACACATCGCCTTTTCGATGATCGAAATTCCATTCAAGACCCTGAAAAGAATAGAAATCTCGACTCAATATTTTGGATATCGAAATATTACATCACTAGACGTGATGTGAGTGAGTGTATGCGTGTACGTTCAGCTGAATTCGTTTGGTATCGGAGATCCAGAACCTATTCGCTACCTCCGACAAGCCTGACCTTACCTCTTACCTTCAGGGCTTCCAATCTGAGGTCATACCGATCTCAACACCGCCCCTGACCCAGTCCTACGTATGACTTTTGTTCCTTTATGTGTTCATGTTCAAATGCCATGAATTGCATGCAAATTCCTCGAAGTAACCACTGAAACTCAATTACGCCATTCTTCTATCCATCTATGCATGCATTCCGCTTAAATATCGCTCGCAATCACCCGTCATATGCGTTAAGGATGATGGCTTCAAAATCGAATAAACTCCCATTATCGTATGCAATCAGTCAAGACTGAAGCAACGTTCCATTCATTCTGCTGAGAACGCACACAAAATAATTCACACACAAACAAATGCGAACTGATTTCCGAGTCAAATCATTCAATTCGCACGATTTTTTCCAAGAATCCAAATTCATGGCAAGTGATGAGAATATGCGATTCATTCATTCAGAGAAGGAATATGGAACTGAGAACTAAAGTAACGTCAAAATTTTGTGCGAACCGATAGCTAATGCAAACAGAAAAGCGTTCAGATATGTGTGCATGGAACACTTTTTTTCATTTGACGATATCGCATATGTTACTTCAACACTCGTACTTCTATTGAAATCTGCTGAATGTGAATTTCGAATAGCTTCTGATTCGAATGTATTCATGAAATCTGATATATTCTATTGATTTTTGCGTTTGCTTTGATGGAATCGACAACATTTCAACGAGTTGAATTGATTGATGAGCAATAAGCGATTACTCTGACAATGAGCAATCAACAACAAAAAATATTTACTTTAGTCTGAACTGTTTAGTCGATGTCTTCAGTTTCGAAAACAAATGCAACCAACAAATTCAAGCATGAAATAAACAAAAAACATAATAAAGATGCCTCTAATGTGTATGCGTTAAACATCATGTTGTATGATGCATGATGTGTTTTGTGCATTATGCATGAGACAAGTAGTAGAAGACGTGATGAAGCCAACGCAACGAAACGTAAGAAAAAGAAATGTGGATGGATGCATAAAGGGAAGTGAAGCGAGCACGAGTTGAATTGTTAATGAGTCTGTTTCTAAGATTATCAACATGGCACATGGCGAGATGTTTTTGCTTTCTAGTTGTTGGTGTTCTATAGTTGTTTTCTTGATATTCTTGCTGGTTTGACACCTCATCAAGCCGAACGAACAATGCTTCTCCATGCATAACCCAAACAGCATCATTGTTCAGTGATAAACACTGGCACACATACACGGCATCGTGTATTCACGCAGAACAATTCTTCGACATCTTCAAGTCTTACTGAATTTCTTTGAATCTGCACTATGACTCTAACATTCATGTATTTGTATAATATGTGAGATTGTGTCTTCATCCAACGCCTTGAAAAACTCAATCAAAATT